ACGCTGGCCTCGAACTCAGAGATCTGCCTGCCTCCCAAGTGCTGGGATTAAAGGCGTGCGCCACCATGCCTGGCTTTATTTATTATTTTTATTTTATATGTATGAGTGTATTGCCTGTAGGTAAGTGCACCCATGTCATGCAGTGCCCAAGGAGGACAGAAGAGGTCATTGGATCCCCTGGAACTGGAGTTACAGACAGTTGTTAGCTACCATGTGGATGCTGGGATTCAAACCCAGGTCTTCTGCAAGAACAACCAGTGTTCTTAACTGCTGAGCCATCTCTCCAGCCCCAAGGGAAACTTTTTAATGAAAATGTTCATATATTCGGCCTCTTCTTTCCTATTTCTTTTCTGATTTTTATGGAACTAGCTCAAAGGAAAGTTATTTAACATCCTTTCATTTGTGTTGAAACAATATAAAATAGTTTTTTTAATCTCCAAAGTTGCTAAGTGTTATAATCACAAAAAGTAGTGCAGTTTCAGAGTTTTAAAAAAAATCAAAAGATCTGGTTATGCTGTTAAATTGTTTTTCTCTGCTTAAAAATGGTTGTATCGGAGCTAGAGAGATGGCTCATTGGTTAAGAGTACTGACTGCTCTTGCAGAGGACCTGGCTTTAATTCCCAGCACCCACATGGAGGCTAACAACCGTCTGTAACTCCAGTTCCAGGGGGTCAACACTTTCCTCTGTGCAGGCATTGTACAACATGGGTGCACTTTACACACATGCAGGAAATACATTCATACACATAAAATAAAAATAATAAATATAAATATTAAAAAATATGAATGCCTCCTTGGTCCAGTTCAGCGTGTGTACATTCGAATCTAAGGGAATTTTCCTTCTGTGCCCCAGCTGCTTTGCTGCCTGCCTTAATCCTTTATGGTCTGACTTTTGACTCTATGGTCTTGGATTTTCTGCAAGCAGTACGGCAGAGTGGTTGAAAACACCTCTCAAGCCAGGACACTGGTTCTAGTCTTGGCTCACTCACTTCACAGTTCTCCAGTCATCCAAGAGACTGCCTGACCAATCATCATACCAATGTTGAAATGTTCTAAGAATTCCATGAACTTAAAGCTCTCGAACAGTACCAGATACTAGGCAGTGCTCAGTATGTAGCTCTTAATGCAATTTTTTTTTTTTTTTTTT